AGCAAAACTCACAAAAGAAGAGAGAAGACGCAAATAATCCGAATAAGAGATGAATCAGGTAACATCACAACAGACCCAACTAAAATAAAAAAGTATTTTCTTTATTAAACAAAGCTACAGGCAAGATGGAGCTGTGAGTGAGTTGGTTTAACTCACGAAAGTCTTCTCTTTGGTAAATGAGGTTCATAGCTTTAACTTCAGATTCAAATCTCGAGAATATAGTTTTTTAAAAAGTATTACACTAAATGGATTTGTAGATTTGCTGGCAAGGAGACAGAAATATAAAATTTAAAGGACCTCCACTGAAGTGATCTTGAAATTTTGTCATGTTTAAAAGGTAGTTGGAGTCTGTGTTAAAATAAAAATTTCCAATCCATGCTAACCCTGTAGTTTTAGAATGGAATCCAGGACTTTGTATAGTGAAATAAGCAGCATTCCTACTTGGGGAAGATGGATACAGCTACCTATCTACATTTTGAAAAGTACTGATTGTGTGACCTGAATGAACAAGTTAGGTGAATTGTTGTTGTTATGTGCTCTCTAGTTAGAATCAACTCCTAGCTGAGCCTACAATGGGTTTTCAGAGACTGCAAATTGCAGAGGAGGAAATGCTCAACTTTCTCCTGCAGAGCAGCTGGAAAATTAGAACCTTGTGCCTTTGGGATTGGCAGGCCAACTCCTTACCACTAAGCTATCAGTTAGGTGAATAGCTGTAGGGAAAGAAAGGAAACGAATAAAATATACTTTAGCAGTTTGATCAGGTAAAGTTGAACTGAACATTTAACAGGGGTTTATTGAGTAATTTTCTGGGAAACTTTGAATGAAACTTTGCCCTTGGTGAATGCTAGCTCTGTACTCCAGTTTGGCTGTGAGGTGATTGCATGCTTTCACTATAATCATACAACTGCTTCCTCTTGTTGTCTTCGTTCTATCATCTGTAAGGATCTTGCTTTTCTTTGCACAGGCTTGTGTTCGATTTCTCTCCCGAGACAAATGGCCATGCAAAATGCCATTCAGCACATACAGGAGATAATAGAAAACACAATAATATTATGTAAAACAGAGAAAATCTTGACAAATGTTAATTGGACTCTAGTAGAACAAAAGACCAGGATTGAATACGTCATTCCTGTGAGTAAATAATACCTGGCAAAAAAGTCATTTTCCTTTCCCTTCCTGGGTCTGCCTCTTCTGCTTTAGTTTTATTACAAACAATTTGGGTTTGCTACTAGATAAATACCAGAAAACTGAGAAGATATATATTCTAGCTTTGTTATCTTGGTAAAATGCCTTTTTTGAATTTAGTCTCTAAAGTAAAGGCCTTGGCAATACAGCCAAATGTGAGAATATTTTAGGAGAATTGGTGTTTTTCAAATTGGTTGAGTAATTGATCAGTGGTTCTTGCCAATTCCACGTTTCCAAGAACAGAGGCATTGCAGCACTGCCCCTTGTAAGTATTATAAACAAGAGGTACCGCCCCTGTAAGTATTATAAAAAGCAAAGCACACAGCCTGCTGCAGAGAACAGTCACGCACAGACAGGTTTGGGAAAGGATTTGACCTCTAAATGGTCTCAAATGAATATGTACTTTACTACAATGAATAGAAACATTTCATATATGAAGGTAAAGTCTGTAGTTTCACATAAGGTATGAAGGTAAGGTTAAGTTATAGCATTTCTGACACGTATGATTAGAATCTATTGAGGATAGCATATGTTAGCTCCTAACCAATTTTTCTTTTTTTTAAAAAAAAACTTCCTCTTTGTATGTTTTTCCAATTTAGGGTGATGCTGTTAAGTTTCCCCAAATTTCATGTAATGAAATAGAGGAGTCTCCAACAGATGAAGATTTAATAGAAGAAGCTAGATTGCATGTAGCTATAATACAAATGGTTGGTACTATTCATGTAACTGTTTTTTTTTCTTTACATATTGGTTTATTTTCTTGCAATGCCTTTAAGCCTTAAGTGCTGTTTTCAAGTGATGAGAAAAATATTTTCACTTTTTAAAATTGTCTATTGATTGTTAAAGTGAACATTTGGTTTATTAAAACAATATAGAAATTGGAAAACATATTCCTCATTAGGCTTCAAGTCACAAACGTTACTCTCAATGTTGTAAGATTTGTTGGTCTAGTCCCCTAGCAAGTTGTGTGGCTGACCCCAAAGCCACTACTCTCTAGTAGTTTGAATCTACTAGTGACTGAGGAAGAAAGATGGAAAGTCACCTTCTGCTAGGACTGACAGCCTTGGAAACAACCAACAGGTAGTGAGTGAGCAAAATTTACTTGTCACTTTTGAAGAGCATTTGAATAATGCTTGGTGCCATTTAAATACTTGTTGTTAGGCATAATCAAGTTGACTAAAACTCTGTGAACAACAGCTCTGAACCTTGTCCTATCTTGTTCCATCCTCATGATTTAAATGCTTATATAATGAAAAATCGTCAAATATTTGAAAAGTCCTTTTTTACATTTAATATATTCAGATTCCTTTAAACCAGATTTTTCCCAAGGCCTTAATTCTTGTAAGTATATTAAATTTAACTTATAAATCTTGGAAATCTAAAGTTCTTTCTTAACTTAGTATTACTGTTTGAATACTCTGAAGGAAATAGGGAGCTCTCGTGGCCTAGTCGTAAAGAGCTGTGCTCCAATTCTGAAGGCATGTGGTTCAAATCCACCTGTTGCTCCATGGGAGAAAGATGGACAGTCTTCTCCTGTGCAATTAAACTGCCTCTGAAAACCATCTGGAAGGTCTTCTATGGGTCAGCTTATATTCTCAGTTAAAGTTTCACTTAAATTAATTTATCAACTTGCATATTTTGAGTATAAATTATATTTTCATAGTTCACATTTTATTAAATATTGTAAACATATAAATATATAACATACACAGAATTTTCTACTTTCTATTTAAAACTTACTATGAAGGATTTCTAACATATGTAAAAACAGACAAGATAACATGTATAAATTGCTGTTGTTGAATGTTTTGGTGAATACCATCTCACCCTAACAAAGAAGGTGGTATACAGACTAGTATAATGAAGTCCTATATGCCCATCACCTAGATCATCAAAACTATCTACACCTGATGCCATCTGCACCCTTGGCCACACTCTTATATTATTTTGAAATAAATCCCAGATGTAGAATTTAATCTATAAATATTTCAAAATTTTAAAAAAATCCTTGAGAGTGTAATATGAATATTTTACCTAAAGTTACTCATGATTTCTTAATAACATTAAATATCCAGTCAGTGGTATATTTTTCCATAAAAAGTGGGATACTTACTTGCACTTTACATTTTTAATTTGAATTCAAATAAGGCCCACACATTACAATTAACTAATGCATGTTTCAAACCAAACCCACTGCTGCAGACTTAACCTCATAGCGATCTCCATTGGTTTTTGAGACTGTAGATCTTTATAAGAGGGAACTGTTTCACCTTTATTCTTAACATCTGGAGGAATCAAACTACCAACTTTCTGATTATCAGTCCAACATATTATACACTATATTAATAGGATTTCTTAGCCTCTTTTAATCAATAATTTCCTTCTTTCAATTTTTTGATTGAAGAACATGTTAATTCTTTCCCCGCTTTCTTCTTTGAACATTTTATTGTGCTTTAATGAAAATTTTCACAGTAAATTAGTTTTCTGTTCAAGAATTTATGCACTAATTGTTTCAAGACATTGGTTATAATTCTTGAAATGTTTCAGCAATCTCTTCATTCCAATCCTGAGTTCTCTTAATCCATTTGTCTGATTTTTCCATCCTTTTGTTTCTATTTTGTTTTAAGGCAGGTGTTGCCCTTTTGGCTTCAAATTGTATAATAAGAACATTCCCTGTGGTTGTTGCTGTTTATTGTTAAGTGCAATTGAGTTGCCTATGGCTGTAACTCAGAGTGATCCTAAGAACAACAGATCTAAACCTTTCTCTATCCTGTGTGATCCTCACAATCTCTGTCATTATCAAACCCATTCATATGGTCACTGTGTCAATCCACCTGCATCTGCAACACTCTCTCTGTTCCTTTGCCTTTCCCAGCAAAGGAGTCTTTGGTCTCTTTTCCCAAGAACTGGCTCCTCCTCAAAACATGCCCAAAGTATGTGAGACAAAATTTTGCACTGCTTGTCTGTAAGAACCCTGGGCGCACTTCCGCCAAGGCAGATTTGTGTGTTCTTTTGACAGTCCTTGGAATATTTAATATTCTTCTTCAACACCACAATTTAAAAACATGAATTCTTTGTTGGTCTTCCTTATTCATTGCCCAGCTTTCAGATGCACATGAAGCAATTGAAAACAAACTGGTATCCTTGCTCTTAGCACTTCAAAGAGGTCCTTGAAAGCAGATTTCTCCAGTGCAATACATCTTTATTTTATAGGCCAGTCTATTATTTGGCTGAAAGATGGCTTCCAAGAGAGGCTTCAGTTCCAAGTCAAATGTTTTCCATTGATAATAGTCTTCAGAGTACTTCCAGGCTCTATTATACCATTAACTCTGGTCTTTTGAAAGAAGATATTTATTCTTAGTACAAAATATTAATACTATGTTTTCACTCTGAAATATTCCCACTTACAAGCACAAGAACAACCATCATACTCTCCTGCCAGGATAATAACCTTTAATTGGTCTCCTTGCCTTGGATTTTTCCATTGTTAAGTCCAAATGACTCATTGACCAACTTTGATCACATTACCTTCCTCCTTGTGACTTTACAATGGCTCCTTAGTGCCTACAGCATTTTCCAGTGTGGGTTCCAGAAAATGCTTGCTCCACAGGATGTTAGTAAGAATGACTTGAAAAACAAAAAGCTTCATGCTCAAGTTAGTTTGGGCAATGCCAGTTTAAGCAAAACAAGCAAGTTTTTATGGTCTCCTTTCTTGTAGAACTTCTCAGAGATTTTAACATTTGGATGTGCATTAAGACTCTCCAAGAAGGAATACAGAATGCAACTATTTCCATTGTTTACAGGATTCTGCTCTCGTGAACCCTGTTCTTTTTTGCAGGGTGGGATTCAAGGAGTATTTCACAAGATTACTATACCACACTCTGGGCGGTGCTTACCTATATCAAGCATAAACATGATGTAGGATCCTGGTGGTACAATGGCTAAGAGCTCAGTTGCTAACTGGAAGGTTGATGGGATTGAATGCACCCAGGGATTCCATGGAAGGCGGGAAAACTCCCCAACCCTGGAATTCTACTCCCTCAAGGATTATAGCTTAGAACACCCTATAGGGCTGTTGTATTCTGTATCATTGGATCGATATGATTCTAAATGGGTTGGATGGCATCTAGCAAAAAAGCACAATGTACAAAGTCTTTTGTAATATGACCACTGCCTGTTTGTCTAACCAGTAGTCTCTTGCCTGTCCCTTAACTGTACTCACCAGGCTGTTTCTCCCCTCTGTGCATGCACTAAAGATAGCATCTTCTACTCTCTTCTTTATTCTCCCCTTTGGAAGGCAGCTTCAGAGTTTACATGTTGCATTAGGAAAGCTGTTAAGGGTGGATCCTTTTCCTGCCTTGGAAAAGGAAGTGGTAAATGAGTAACTGCTTTTTCAAGAAATAGAACCACTAAACAATCAACCAAACCAACCAACCACTCACCAAAATAAGTTATTGTGAAGTCATTTCTCACTCTTGGTTACTGTATGTGGGTCAGAGTTGAGCTGTGCTCTGTAGGGTGTTCAGTGGCAGTGACTGTTTAGAAAGAAATTGACAAGCTTTTCTCTGGAGGTGACTTTGGATAGACTTGATCTGACAGTCTTTAGATTTTTATCAAAATGCAAAAACAAGCATTATTTTCTTCTTTTCCTAAAAAGTCACTAAAATTTGCAAAATTGTGCAACTTGAGAAAACATGCTAAATGTAGCATAGTTTGAAGAAGCATGTATAAACAATGAATAGAAAGAGTACTTGATATAACATTGACTGCCAAGAGAAAAAAACACAGCTTGAATGTTCCTTGGAGGTGAGGAAGGAGAACCTTTTCCAATAATATTGGGGCATGTATCATGATGATAGCCTTGACAGCAACTAACAAGGGAGAGCACATGGCCAATATGAGTGTGAATATTAGGCGACAGTCCCTGGAGATGACTTTAACCTCTGAGTTTAATGTAAGTAGCACCTAAAAAGAGGTCTTAACTTTTCTGGGAAATAGCATAAGAATGTAGTCCACTTTTTTCTTTTGGCTGAGATTAAGAGGTATTTAGAATAATACTTTGCACATCTATTCTGCTATAGAAAAATGATGCTATTTATATTATAGAAGAGTTAATGTAGTTATTTTAAGTTTTAGTTTCTTGAGACTAAAAACCTTTGTATTCTTTATAACATCAAGTAAATACATATTCTGCAAAAAGGGAACTATTTAGTACTTGATATGAATGAAATTTCTTTTCTGCTATATTTTTTTGTGTGTAACAGCATATTTTTGTGTTTAATTCCGTAAGAATGGTGGAGGCACTTGATCTTCTGTGTTACCAAAAATGATCTTCTCCAAGAACTGGATCATTCTGATAACATGCCCAAAATGCAAGAGATAAAATCTCAACATTCTTACTTATAGGGAGCAATTTATCTGAATTTATTTCAAGAAGTATAAGGATATTTGTTTTATTTGTTGAAGTGCAATCCATATTGGAGACTGCAGTCTTTGAACTTTAGCAGTAACTGCTTTAAGTCTTCTTCATTTTTAGCAAGCAAGGTTGTATCATTGACATATTGTAGGTTGTTGATGAATCTTTCTCCAATCCTAATGTCATGTACCTATTCACATAGTCTGGTTTCCTGCAGTATTTAATTAGTATACAAATTGAATAAATAAAATTAAAATCTATAATCCTGGTGCACAATTTTCCAAATTTTAAAGCATGTAAGATCTCCTTTTTCTTCACAAATGACTTTTCCTCGGTTAAAGTACATATTTCTCATGAGCACAGTTCAGAGTTTGAGGAATCCCATTCTTCATAGTGTTATGCCTAATTTATTATGATCAACATAGTCAAATACTTTTGCATAACCAATAAAGCACTGCTAAACTTCTTTGTAGTTCATTGCTTCCAGTCTAAATTAATCTGGTAATTTATTTAAAAAGTGTTTCCATATCCTCTTCTGGATCTGGTTTGACTTTGTGGCAGTTCTCTGCCAGGTTTTGCTGTAACTGTTTCCCCCCACCCCCATTATCTTCAGCAGGAATATTATATTGTTGTTGTTGTGTACATAGAGTTGGAACCAACTCATAGCTGATTCTCTGGTGTGTTTTCAGAGGCAGTTAATTGCATGGGAAGAGATTGCCCATCCTTCTTTCATGGAAAATATTGTTGTTGTTGATTGCCTTTGAGTAGAGCACTCCTTACAGCGACCCTATGAGCAGAAGGCCTGAAGTTTTACTATAACTATTGACATTTATCAAAGTTCATAGAGTTTCCAGAGGCATGTTGTTTAGGAAGTGGATGTATTATTATATTTTAGTCAAAATATAGTAGTGGAGACTATAGAGTTTCTATAACAGAAATTCTTTTAAAAAATTAAAAATTATTAAATTATTATGTTAGATCTTAAAAAAAGAATGGTGGAGGCTGTATAAAAATTAAGAAGAGTACATGGCACTTGTATTTTGATCCTTTGTCATTTTAATTTAAATTTTTATGTTTAGAGTAGTTTTGAAAAACAGTGCAATGATGGAATCCTCAGTGTAGAGGCAGCCCGGATATTAATTGGTGCAACCAAAAACTATCTCCCGATCCAAGGAAAGTAAGTATTACTTTTACTTAATTGAAATTTTCAATTAAGGTGAAAGTGGAATTTGTAGGTGATTGTGCAAACTGAGAACTAAATGTTCAAAATGATCAATCTCATTTACCTACTATACCTGTCCATTCATCCACATCCATCAGATGCTGTCCATCTGCCCACCCAGCCAATCATCCATCTATTTTTCTACTTCATGTTGTTGTTGTTAAGTGCCGTCGAGTCACTTGTGACTCATAGCGACCATATGTACAACAGCCCTAAACACTGCTCTGTCCTGTGCCAATTGCACTGTCTCTGATACACCCATCCCGATTACCCCAATCACTGAATCAATCCACCTCATAGAGGGTCTTCCCCTCCTGTGCGGTCCCTTATTCCTCCCAAGCATGATGTCCCTCTCCAAGAACCAGTCCCTCCTTACAACATGTCCAAAGTATGTCAAATGAAGCCTCAGAATCCTTGCCTCCAAGGAGCAGTCTGGTTTAACCCTCTCCTGGATGAATCTGTTTGTTTTCCTAGCAGTCCATGGTACATTCAATACTCTTCTCCAACACCACAGCTCAAAGGCATCAATTCTCCTTCTACCGTCCCTAGTCATTGTCCAACTCTCTGATACATAACAAGGTATCGCAAAGACCATGGCCTGTATCAGATGCACCTTAGTCTACAGAGAGACACCATTGCTCTTCAGTACTTTGGAGAGGTCCCTAACAGAATACTTTCCCGTCACAATACGTCTTTTAATTTCCTGGCTGCTGGTGTCAAGAGTGTTGACTGTGGAGCCAAGCAAACTAAAACTGTGAATAATCTCAATCTCTTCACCATCTATCCTGATGCTGTCAGTAGGTCCAGTGGTGAGAATCTTTGTCTTCTTGACATTATGCCTCAATCCATATTGAAGGCTGCAATCCTTGACCCTCTGCAGCAAGTGCTTCAGGTTCTCCTCAGTTTCAGCAAGCAGGGTTGTGTTATCTGCATAATGAAGATTGTTGATAGATCTTCCACCAATCCTGATGCCACATTTCTCCTCATAGAGCCTAGCCTTCCAGATAATCTGTTTAGCATACAGGTTGATAAGGTATGGAGACAGGACACATCCCTGGCATACACCCTTCCCAATTTTGAACCATGCAGTGTTTCCTTGCTCCGTTCTGATGACTGCCTCCCGGTCCAAGTATTGGTTTCTCATTACCACAATCAAGTGTTCTGGTATTACTATTCTTCTCAGAGTCAGCCATAGTTTGTTATGATCCACACAGTCAAACGCCTTTGCATAATCAATAAAACACAGATATACATTTTTCTGGTATTTCCTGCTTTCAGCTAAGATCCATCTAACATCAGCTACAATATCCCTAGTACCATGACCCCTTCTAAACCCAGCTTGGACTTCTGGCAGTTCTCTGCTGATGTGCTGTCCAGTCGTTCTTGGATAATCTTCAGTAGAATCTTGCTTGCGTGTGAAATCAATGATATTGTTCTATATTTTCCACACTCTGTTGGGTCACCCTTCTTTGTAATGGGAACAAATATAGATCTCTTCCAGTTAGTTGGCCAAGTGGCTGTTCTCCAGATTTCTTGGCACAATTTGGTGAGCACGTTCAGGGCAGCATCTGTTAGCTGAAATATGTCAATTGGTATACCATCTATTCCTGGGGCCTTATTTTTTGCTACTTCCTTCAAATCAGCCTGAGCTTCTTCCTTCATCACCATGGGCTCCTGCTCATATGTTGTTTCATGAAATACTTCTGTGTCTGCCAATTTCTTTCAATGCAGTGACCCAGTATATTCTTTCCCTCTTCTTTTAGTACTTTCTGGGTCATTTAATATTCTGCTTACAGCATCCTTGAGTATAGCAGCTCAAGGTTTGAATTTGTTCTTCATTTCCTTGAGCTTAAGAAATGATGAGTGAGTTTGGCCCTGTTGATTTTCTGACTCCAGCTCCTTGCACACTTCATTGTAATATTTTACTTTGTCATTCTGTGCTGCCTTTTGAAATCGTCTGTTCCGTTCTTTAGTATCTTGAATTCTTCCTTCTGCTTTGGCTTCTCTGCACTCCAGTGCAATATCCAGAGTTTCTTCTGACATCCATTTTGGTCTTTTCTTTCTCCTCTGTCTTTGTAATGACTGTTTGCACTCTTCCTGGACAATATCCTTGATATCCTCCCACAACTCATCTGGTCTTTGCTCATTAGTGTTCAAGACCTCAAACCTGTTCCTAGATGGTTCTGAGATTCAGGTGGGATAGACTCAAAGTCATATTTTGGTTCCCGTGGATTTGGTTTAATTTTCCTCAGCTTCAGTTAGACCTGTCTTGAAGTGCAATATTGTGAGTGACAGGATAATATCCGTATTCATAGAAGGAAGTCCAGTAAATACCACTATAATTCAGATATAGGTGCCAACAACCAGAGCCAAAGAAGAGGAAATAGAAGATTTCTTCCAACTTTTATAGTCGGAGATTGATCGAACATGCAATCAAGATGCATTAATAATAATGGGTGACTGGAATGCAAAAGTTGGGAACAGAGAAGAAG